ACGACTCCCTCCCGATTGTTTGCGCCGCGCTCTCCGCGCCGCCAGCCCCGCTCCGCGCGCACTCGGTACCTGAGAATTTCACTTCAGCACTGCGGCTCCTCTGAGTCTGGATATAATATTCTCTTTACTCCTAGTTGTAGAATTTCCACTCAGCCAGCCCTCCTGTGGCTCTGGATGTTGTCCTTTCCCTGGTTCAAGCTTAATTTGAATTGGTTGTTCAAGGCAGCAATCTCTGGTGTTAACCTATGCCGCCATCTTCAGTTCCCGACTCGACTTTATACTATTGAAGATAAAGATTTACTTCTTCCTGCCTTGTGGCTTCCTCTCTAATCTCCGTACATGCATGTACACTTCTCCATCCCCCATCATTCTGGTATAGGTATATTATAATTTATGTTAGAGCCATAGTCAGTGTTTACATTTTTGAGACATGGCTGATCTATAATGTATACAATGAGAACTTTTCTTCCTTAGGTTTTGCGTTTCCCTGGAGTTAATAGTCTCTTTAAAAAGATTTTCCTCACTTTTAAGTGTACTTCTCAATACACCATCCCAATCTCTGTCCCGTCTGTTTATTTCTCCTCTCAATACTTTCAAACACATCAGGGTGCTCCTGGTTTCATCTTAGAGACTCTCCCAGAGCCTTCTGGCCTGTTTTAGTTGGTACTGGTTGCTTGTACTGATGCACAGATGTCCTGAGGTGTTCCTCCACCATTGCTAAAACTTTCCTTCGCTTCTCTTGAGTTGGATGCCCTGTGTCCTTGATTCCCTGGCTGCTTCTTTCTTATTAACTCTCATTTTTGTGAAGCTTTGCCTCTAGTAGCTTTCCTGGGAAAAGTGTCTGGAAGGTAAATTTTTACAACCTTTTATGTCTCAAATATCTTTATCCTATCCTCATTTGCCCTTCTTTACCTGGGAATAGAATTCTGGATTGGAAATAATTTTTCCTTAACAATTTGAGGGCCATTAAACACGGTGTTCTGGTTCAGTGATGCCTTTGAGAAGTCCAAAAGCATTCTGGGAATAACTCTTAAAAGTCTTAGTCCTCCTTTATTCAGCCTCACGTTTCCTCTTTCAGAACTATCTTGTGCCACCAATTCCTGAGTTTTTTGCGAACGGGGTTGCTTATTAGCTTCCTCTACTGTTGGCTTAGAATTCGGCCAGCTTTCTTTAACCTGCTAATACAGTTAGCACTCATCCTGCTTTTTCAGTTTCTAGAATTTGGTGGCTATAGTTTCTTCAGTTTTTCTCATCTTTGTAGGTTTGTGCCATGAAAAAAAAAACAACACCTCTTTGTTGTCCTTTTATTGGAATTTTAGAGGCAGCAGAGTTAAACATGTTTTTACTTCACTATCTTTAAACAAATATCCCAGATATTGAAGTTCAGCATGAGGAATTGCATTTAAGAACACAGAGCAATAAATCATTATATGGATAATAATGCTGAGTATTATTTTTAAAAATTATTCTAGCTTAAAAAGTTTGGGACCATAGTGCATTAAGAGATACTTATATTTGGTAAAAAATAAAATTCATGGTCAGTTTTCTAGTGGGAATTTTTCATGACACTATAAGTCTTTAGGAACAGTATTTTCTATTTCTAATTTTTGGGCATCTATTGTTTTTTAAAGTTTCATATTTTTAATTCTCTGTTTTCTTTACATTATTATAACAAGGATAAAAAGATGTCATAGGCAGCCTAATCTCCAAACTACAGACTTCAAAACAATGATACTTGTTTGATTTTGCCACTGAAGAGGAATATTCTACTAGGGAAGGTGATCCATTTGACAAAGATGCACACCTTTTCAAAAGCACGTGTTATGCGTTTGGCTTTATGGCAGGTCCATCCCCCTGGTTCTCTCGTGGTGCCCCATGTCATAGCATACCGGCCTTGAACCACTGCCCGGCCTCTGCCTGTAGCATGCAGGCACTGGAGCAGGTTACATAGTGGAAAAAACAGAACAAAACAAAAATACAAAAGCAAGTGTATAGAAAATAAGGCAGATAACTTTACCCTGGGAAGAAAGAAGATATAATGAAAATGCATTTTTTTAAAACGTTGTTTTATCCTTGAGGAATAGAGATTGACTTGACATGATATCTGATATATTTTTATTTACTTTCATTTAGGAAGATGCATTTATTTACATGGAGCCAGAGAAACAAGTTATGTCCAGGTCTTCAGATGAATGCGTCGTGGCCCTGTGTGACCAGTGGTTAGTCTCTTGTAGCAAGAAATTTCCTCCAGTCACTCTCCTTCCCTTTTAGACTTTTACTTTTTTCTAATCAATGTGTGTACTCCCAGGTACTTGGATTATGGAGAAGAGAACTGGAAAAAGCAGACATCCCAGTGCTTGAAGAACCTGGAAACGTAAGATGGGAGAAAGTGATGAGGGAAGGGAAAGGAGATGAGAAGCATGGAAGTCAGTGAAGGAGAAGGGAGACACTGTGTATTTTACTCTCCAGATTCGGCGAGGAGACCAGGAGGAATTTTGAAGCTACCTTAGACTGGCTACAAGAGCATGCTTGCTCAAGAACTTATGGTTTAGGTAAGCAAAATTCAGATTTTTCTGTTTGAATGACTTCTGCAAATTAACAATTTTTGCTAATTCCCTCTTTTCTAGTGTTTTTCTGAATTGGAAGTGAGAGTTTTTGGTTAGAGGATGAGGGAAACCAAGATGGGGTCTCCTACCCACTAACCCAGTTTGCTCTTTATTTACCACTAGAGGCCCAGTGCACAAAATTTGTGCATGGGGGGTGGAGATAGCCCAGCCTGCACCCTCCTCTTCCTGTGGGATCAGGCTTAACCTGGCAGTCGGACATCCCTCTCAAAATCTGGGACTGCTGGCTCCCAACTGCTCAACCACTCACCTGCCTGATTGTCCCTAACTGCTCCTGCCTACCTAATCGCCCCTAATCACCTCTGCCTGCCTGCCTCATTGCCCCTAACCACTCTGCCTGCCTGCCTATCACCCCTAACTGCTTGCCTGCCTGCACGATTGCCACTAACCGCTCGCCTGCCTGCCTGATCACCCCTAATCGCCTCTGCCTTGGCCCCCGTCACTGCAGCTTCGTCCAGAGGATGTCCGGAATGATGTCTGGAAGGTCGTTCGACTGTCTGGTCTAATTAGCATATTACAGTTTTTTTATTATAGATTTTATTTTTATTAATTTTCTGAGTAAATTTAAGAACTTCCTTTATAAGCAGCTTTATAAGTCCTGTAGAACCCTTCTTAAAATGTGGATTTATAGATGAAGTGTCTCTTAGGTCCCTCATGCATTAATTTTCTTCTTTTTATCTTGCAGGTACCCGTTTGCCTTGGGATGAGCAGTGGCTGATTGAATCACTCTCCGATTCCACTATTTACATGGCATTTTACACAGTGGCACACCTGTTGCAGGGGGGTGACTTGCGTGGACAGGCAGAGTCTCCATTGGGCATCAGGTTGGTAAATGGATAAGGGAAAGAAATCTAGTTTGTCAGCAAAATATACCATCTTTTGATTTAAGTACTGAAGGTCCTTTTTTAATATTTAGTTTTCATGAGAATTATTTAACTACCCTAGTCAGTGTGGGCCACTTGGTTGAACATCATCCTGTGCACCAAAAGGTCACTGGTTCGATTCCGGTCAGGACACATACCCAGGTTGGAGGTGTGTGTGGGAGGCAACCTATCGATGTTTCTCTCTCACATCAATGTTTCTCTTTCTTTCCCCTCCCCCTTCCACTCTTTAAAAAAGTCAGAGCCATATTTTTTTTTTAAAAGAATTCATTTAGCAGAATTTTGCTATGCTGTTTTTGTTTTTTTGCTATTGAACTGAGAAAAAGTAATCAATAGGCCTTCTCTTTTTTATTATTACCCATCCTTCATTTTTATGGGCGTCTGTTGGACTCATTTGTTACTTTTAACTACATTAAGAGAGTCCTAATTCATGGTTAGATTGAAATACTGATTCTTTCTAAAAAATTACATATGTTTTGTTGTTGTTTGTTTGTTCTACTTTAAATACAGACCACAGCAGATGACCAAGGAAGTTTGGGATTATGTTTTCTTCAAGGAAGCTCCATTTCCTAAGACTCAGATTCCCAAGGAAAAATTAGATCAGCTAAAGCATGAGTTTGAGTTCTGGTACCCTGTGGATCTTAGAGTCTCTGGCAAGGACCTTATTCCAAATCATCTTTCATATTATCTTTATAATCATGTGGCTATGTGGCCAGAACAAAGGTGAGTGCTTAAAAGGATGTGGGCTAAATTTATTGCTTATTGACATAGTGTCTTATGGCTCCAAATATGTAAGAAGTTATTATGCAGGGTATAGATTTGCCAAGTAAATTAGCATCGTATATCTATACTTATTTATATTTTAATTTATACAAAGATGCAATGTTGTAGACACTATTTCTGACTTGTGTTTTTATATAGCCCCTGCCTGTGTTTTTTAAGTACGTACATAGTAATTCACTGTATGCTTGTACCATAGTTTTATAACCAGTCCTCTGCTAATGGACACTTTCATTGTTTTCATTTGTTTCCTGTTACAAACAGGGCTTAGTAAATATCCTTGTACATTTATGTTAGCAAGCTTTTATTAACCTTTTAGCATTTATCTCAAAATTTTAAGCCTAAACCACAATCTTTAAGTTTTATTTTCTCTCTTTAAACATTTACCTATAAAGTGACAAATGGCCTGTAGCTGTGAGAGCAAATGGACATCTTCTCCTCAACTCTGAGAAGGTAAGGCTCATTGAGAGTTAAAAATTCTGCAGAAAGCTATTCTGATTTAGGAAGTTGAACTTTTAAAAATTAAAGAAATAAAAAATATGAAAATCAGATGCTTAAAAGTCTTACATTTAAAATGTTTAGGACTACCAGCACAAATTAAAGTTTTATCTTTAAAATTGAGTGTGTAGCCCTGGCTGGTGTGGTTCAGTTGGTTGGGTGTCGTCCTGTGCATTAAAAGGTTGCTGGTTCAAGTCCCAGTCAGGGCACATGCCCAGGTTGCGGGCTCGATCTCTGGTAGGGGTCCTTTAAGAGGCAGCCTATCAATGTGTTGCTCTCACATCGATGTGTCTCTCTTCCTTTGTCTCTAAAAATCAATAAAAAATATTTAAAAAGTAAAAGGTGTAGAGTAGGTAGTATTAATTGAGGGGAGGGAACCTACCTATTAGAACACTTGTAGAGTATTTCCTAGTATTTTCACAAAAGGAAACATGAATTGTGACTGGAGCAGAGAGAGAAACAGAGACAGTAACTGTAAAGACCTAGAGTATCTTTCTCATTTAAATTGAAAAAATAGCTTGGTGGTTTTTGTATTTTGTTTTATGCTGTGACTGGCTATTAAATTAGAATGTTAGAATTTTGAAGTTTGTTATAACATGACATTTTCTTTGGTTTCAACATTGTATTGTATACCGTACTGATTTTATTGGTACATGATATTTTATTGCCGTGTCGTGGAACATTGATATAATAATCACCTCTCTTGCCCTGACCGGTTTGGCTCAGTGGATAGAGCATCAGCCTGGGGACTGAAGGGTCCCAGGTTCGATTCCAGTCAAAGGCATGTACCTTGGTTGCGGGCACATCCCCAGTGGGGAGGGTGCAGGAGGCAGCTGGTCGATGTTTCTCTCTCATCGATGATTCTAACTCTCTATCCCTCTCCCTTCCTCTCTGTAAAAAATCAATAAAATATATTTTTTTTAAAAAATCACCTCTCTTTGATATCAACAACGTTATGATTACAACATAAGAAATTTAATATTAAGATTGCTCAGTTGGGCACAGTGCTCCTGCTCCTTAGATGTGCTGCCCTCAGGCAGAGCACAATTTGAACAGCCAGTTATCATGACCCTAATCACAGGAAGTTCCTAAAACCCTATTAACTCTGGCCTCACGAGCTAGTCCGTTTTTTTTTGAAGGACTAGTTAATATAGAGCTCTTCTCTATATCACCTGAAGTGTTCCAGAGTTATAGTGGAATAATTCCATGTGCATAAAGTAATAGTAGAGTCTATTGGAAAGAGCAGTGGACCGAGCTTCAGCCTGGAGATCCTGTCCTAGCTCTCACTCACCAGCTGAATGACCCATAGAAGTCACTATTGACTGGACTTCAGTCCTCACCTCTGTAAAATTAGTTTAGGGTATCTTTTTCTTCTGCCTTTCTAATCCTTTTTGTCTTTATCTGATTGTGGCCAACCCATTTAACTTGATTGGTTGGGTCTGTTTCACTTTATGTATAGTCCTGATAATGCTTACTTACTGGCTTTCTATTCCAGATGTCAAAATCCACAGGCAACTTTCTCACTTTGACCCAAGCTATTGACAAATTTTCAGCCGATGGTGAGTACACTTTTTTATCATTGCTGTTGCATAGGATTCGATTCTCCTCAGATTACACAAGGCAATTTAAAATTTGTTTTAATTTTATTGCTTTTCTCTTTTGCTCTTACCAATACTTTAAAATATTCATGGTTTCTTTGTATACAAGCGCCGTAATGTTTAAAACGTAAGAATTGCTGAGACACAACAATATTGAAACTAGGCCAATTAATAACCCTCCATGGCCTCTAATTGTTTGGGTGAAAGGAAGAGTTGCATGTCTCTCACTTTAAACCAAAAGCTAGAAATGATTAAGCTCCATGAGCAAAGCATGTTGAAAGCTGAGATGGGCTGAGACAGGGGTGGGCAAACTTTTTGACTGGAGGGCCACAATGGGTTCTTAAACTGGACCGGAGGGCCGGAACAAAAGCATGGATGGAGTGTTTGTGTGAACTAATATAAATTCAAAGTAAACATCATAAAAGGGTACGGTCTTTTTTTTCAATAGTTTTATTCATTTCAAACGGGCCGGATCCGGCCCGTGGGCCGTAGTTTGCCCACGGCTGGGCTGAGAGCTAGAGCTCTTTCCTCAGTTAGCCACGTTGTGAAAGGAAAAGTTATTGAAGGAAATTAAAAGTACTCCTCCAGTGAACACAGTAATAATAAGAAAGCAAAACAGCTTTACTGCTGATATGAAAGTTTTAGTGGTCTGGATAGAAGCTCAAACCAGCCACAACATTCCCTTCAGCCAAAGCCTAATCCAGGTAAGACCCAAACTCTTTTTAGTTCTGTGAAACCTGAGAAAAGCGAGGAAGCTGCAGAAGAAAAGCCTGAAGTTAACAGAGGTTGGTTCATGAGGTTTAAAGAAAGAAACTGTCTCCATAACACAGTTCATAGTTTCCTCATTCTTTCAGCAGCCACATGCTTTCCATTGCAAGGATGTCCTATACTTTATTTAATAGGCTCTTATTGATGGCTTTTTTTTTTAGTATTTTAGAATGGAAGATTTTGATTGGAAAGTAAAATTTTGTTACTAGAAAACTTGGCAGGAAAAATCTACTCTGAGGACTAGGAATTAAATATACGTATATTTGTACACATGAAGCACCAATGTGTGTTTTCATGCATTAAAATATCATAATATTTTGCTATCTCTTAAATGAGGCTGAGATGTTGATAGGGATATCTATCCCCAGCTTATTAAATTTTTCCTTTGCCTCATTGAAGACCACTTTATCTCATTAACTCAACATGCCTGAGAAGAAAAGCATATTGATGCTAAGTGTATGCAAATTAATGCAGATGGTGCAAATATTTTAACAGCATCTACTTTTGGTGATTTTTGTTTTGCTGTTGATCCGTGGCAGTCCTTTAAAGCTTTGGCTATTTCTTTCTTTCTTTCTTTCTTTATTTATTGCTTAAAGTATTACAAAGAGTATTACATATGTCTCCTCCCTCCCCCCCTTTTTTCCTTCCCCCGGCCTCCCCTACCCGCCAGTGTCATGTCCATTGGTTATGCTTATATGCATGCATACAAGTCCTTCGGTTGATCTCTTACCCCCCTACCTCCGGCCCCCCACCCCTCCCTGGCCTTCCCGCTGCAGTTTGACACTCTTTTTGA